AAAAAAGCGCCTGAAAATTTGTCGGACAAGGTATGGACTACGTTTTTTAGGCAATTTTTAGTAAGTTAAAATGAAAATTGGGTGTTTTGTAATCGGAAAACCATACCGCGCTAGAGCGACATGTTGGAGATGTCGGACTCGACAATTGCGCCCTCTATTTTGTCGGACAACCCAATTTGCTTCTTATTTAACACATTTTCTTTTAATTCAAATAAAATATTTGAGTGTTGTAATCACAAAAGAGAACCCACCCAGAACGACAGGTTTAAGTACTCGCAATGCGGAAAAGCGCCCTTCCCATATTCTAAAAATTTTACAGCGTGGTAGACTCGTTAAAACGAAGCGATCCAGACCGTTTTCATGACTTTTGTAATCAGTTCGAAAAAAGGTCGCTGGCTTGGGGACTACACATAAGCAGCACAGCACGGCAGCAGCGCAGCGCGTCAAAATTCAACGCCTCTGAGAGCGTTCCATGCTGCTCTGACCTTCGTCGCGCTGCCAAGTGGACATTAGTCACATTAGGAAGTAGCAAACACTGCTGTGTCTTCGGCAAATCTCTATGACCATTTTAACGTAATTTTTTTAAAAAATCATCAATTAACATAGAAACGGTGCATAATAGACACCATAATTATTAATCACAGTGACATTAAAATTCATCGAGTAATTCAAAAATGCAAAAATATATAGGGTTGTATTTAAAAAAACAAAGTTGATTGGCGCTCAGGGGAACTGGAACATCCCGTATAATTCAAACTAATTTTAAAATGTGGAGAACTTGACTGGGAGCAACTTTTGTCTAAAATATTTTTTTCCTAGTGCTACCGTAACCGAGCTATTGGACTTTGACGCTGAAAAAAGCCACCCTGTATTTATAAAATTGAACTTCATCTTCCACCAATTTTCCCGCAATTAAATGAAACTGACCTTCCTTTAGCCTGTGTTTTCACAAATCGTGCGCCCAATATCTTTTGTTTTTTTCATTCTCATGTCTAGTACAGTAACCGCAAATACATCATCATCATCACTAGACGAGGATCTCGACATTTTGAAAATAAAATACGTTTGTTCTAGGTATTAGATACTCGGAATATACTGTTCTAAAATATTAACCGCTGCGCTGCTGCTGTACTGCTAATTGTAAGTGGGAATGCCTACCAAGTTTTTGCATCGCAGCGACGCTATGAGGCGCTGCTGCCGCGCTGCTGCGGCGCTGCTATGTGGGAATTGGCCTTGTTTTAAAGCGTTAAGATGAATCAAAACGGCTTTGCATAAACATTTTTTCGAAAGTCTAGCCCTGAAAAGGGCCGATTGTGTAAATCACGTGTCGAATTAGGGACCGCGTGGCTCGTTACTGCCGCATGCATAAAGTGTCATTTAAACCGGGTATTGCCACTTCGACGGAATATATCCTTCCTGCACGCTCTGATTGAATGTTGAGGTATCGTGTGCCAGATTTCATTTAGAGCTTTCTCAATCTCTCGGAGGTTAGCAGGATCAATCAATCAATCAAACTTTTTAAGAAAAAAAAAAAAATGCTTGCGTTAAATTAGAACATGGAGATGCGGTATCAATTCGCATCCATTTCGCTTAGATTTTTTCAAAGTACAGATAACTAACCTACACAATGAAAAAGAAGCTATGCGCATTAGAAAAATGGAAAAATTTCGTGAAAAATTTTGTTGCGTACTGTAGAATAAAAGCCACTATTTTAAAAAAATAAATTTTATAAAATGTGAAAATATTGGTTAGGAAAAAAAAAGAATTCACTGTGGGGTTAAATATCTTTTACTACAAACGTCAAAAAATGACAAGGTTTGCATATTGACAACAATATGCGAAGTGACACTTTTTTTTCGGATTCTTACGTTACCATGACACCGTGCGCGAAATACTTCACGCACTAGGGTGCGAAGTATTTCGCACACTGCATGTAAATTAATAAGAGTTTTGTATTTCACTTTAAAATAATTATTATTGTTGTCAACAACAGCCACTTTGTTTCCATAGTAACAGTGAAAATTTGATTAGGAAAGACATTTTAAGCCAGCTCAACACTATTTTCTATAATACCTTAGGCATTTTACTTATTTATAATATTTTTAAGAGATAGATTTTGACGTTTGTAGAAAAAATATTGTTTGCATCTCGTGCGCGAACTACTTTGGTGGTCTCGAATAATTTTTTAACTCGGCTTCGCCTCGTTAAAAAATTCAATTCTCGATCACCAAAGTAGCATTTCGCGCACTAGATACAAAAATAACTATTA